GGCCTTGGGTGGAGCTCCCCATGGGGCTACGAAGCGCTGTACTGGGTGGGTGAAGCGCAGGGAGGACGGAGGAGGGGGAGGAAGGGGGCGGGAGGAACGCGGGGCGCTGTCTCTTCAAAACGAGGACCCAGCACCACAGGATGGTTGGGAATAACAGCACACATTACAATCATGTTAATATTGCCCTTACGCGCTTGCGTGCCATTCACCACGTATGCCCCAAACCCTAGATACCCGCACTCTTGGTCTGCGATCGTGCCCCTTTAAGGGTAAATAGGTTTACCTGCAATGTCAATGCCGCGCAGCCCCTAAGGCAGGGGAAGAGAGGACGGATGGAAGAAAAGGACAAGGGGGCGTGGTGAGCTTGGAGCACGAGAGGGAGTTGCAGGAGAGGTGCTAGTAGCAAGCAGAAAACGTCTGGCAGAACCAGACGGGCAGATCGGGCGGGTAGACTCTAACAGGCGGGTCGGGAAGGCGGACCCAGGCGGCGGTCAGGTTGAGCAGGAGGGTTGTTGAAGTGCGCATCCTGCATGACTCGCGAGGAAGTCTCTAGCGATAGCGCGGTCCCCACGGGGGCCACGACGGGCATACGTACACGGGGCCGCAGAGGGCAAAGGCGGGGCCACTGAGTGCAGAAACGAAGCCACGAAAGGCAGCGATGTGGCCGCGAAGGGCGACAGCGGGGCCGCGAAGGGCATGCATATGGGGCCTCGACGGGCGCGAACCAGCGGGGGCCACGACGGGCATACATACATGGGGCCAGAAAGGGCGACAGCGGGGCCACACATGGCAGCAAAGGGGCCACGAAGGGTAGCGAGAGGGCCACGAAGGGCGACAGCGGGGCCACGGAGGGCATGCGTATGGGACTACGAAGGGCGCGGGCGAGCGGGGGCCACGAAGGGCAGATCATGCAGGGACACAGTGGGTAGCGACGGCCGCTGAGGGGAACGCCAGGGCTACGAAGGGCAGCGAGGGGGCCACAAAAAGCGACAGCGGGGCCACGAAGGGCATGCGTAAAGGGCCCCGACGGGCGCGAGCGCGCGGGGGCCATGAACAGCGTACGTATGTGGGGAGACAAACGCCGACAGCGGGGCCACTGAGGGCAGCAAAAGGACCACAACGGCAGCGAGAGGGCCACGAAGGGCGACAGCGGGGCCACGAAGGGCATATAATGCGGGGCCACAGAAGGCAGCGACGGGGCCACTGAGGACAACAACGGGGCCACGAAGGGCAGCGAGCGAAGGCGACCGCGGAACTATTACGAGCAACGAGCGGCATCGAAGGCGGGCGAAGGGCAGCGAGCGGCGACTGCAGTCCCTGACGGGCTTGTCGGGCGGGCAGGCCCCGACGGGCGGGTCGAGCGGGCGGGTCGTTGAAGCGTGAATCCTGATTGGATCGCCAGGAAGTGTTGATCGGGAGCGCGATTACCGAGTAAATCGTGAGGACGTCCAAAGCGAGAGTGCGATTCCTGAGTGTCGAGGAGCGGCATCGGAATAGCTTGTGAGGAAGCCTGTGTCGAGAACGCGATTCCTGAGTAAATGACAAGGAAGTCTCAAGCGAAATCTTGATGTTTCAATAACGTTTGAGGAAGTATCCGGCGGGAGCCGTTGTTGTTGTAACTCGGGGGCCAGGGGCGCAGTTCGACGCTCAATATTTTGCGTTTAAATAAGGAAACCGTGTGTGAGCCCCGGGAGGGGCACTTCAATTGAAGAAATACAATGTGCACCAGGCAGGGGGAGCATGAATAACCATTCTCCAGGAATGTGAATCCAACCACAACAACACGAATAGTCACAACAACAACAACAACGACAGCAACAACACCAACATCAGCAACAATACAACAACAATCTCAACCACAACAATAACGGCAATAACACCATCAACAACAATAACAAGAGCAACAGCAACAACAACAATCATTTTACCCGAACGCTCAGTGTTCTCACCAGTGCCAGGGTTTTCATACGACGCCCGCCAATACCCCCACTTTGTGGGGGGGCCGGTTCAAGCTCTACCATATTTCCGAACGACTCTTCGCCACCACCCACACCCAGCTTCCCGCCCTATGACGTTCGGACACTTCACTTCGTGGCATGCGGACGACCGTGGCTACTACACTGGCGCATGGTTTCAATGACTTATTTGACATGTGTCCCGCATGGTATTATTTGACAGGGATGATGGCCCTGGCAGGTGCGCAACCGTTGTTGCAGAAGTTCGAAAAAGTTGCTCGCAAAAGCCCGTTTGACAGAAATGTTTAAAAAGTGTTGGGTTTCCTACGAATCCGCAAGAGCGCGCGGGATGAAATTTTGACATTTTTTTTTTTTTGAAAAACCATTGGTTTTTTGATGTTTTTATGTTAAAATCGCTACGAACACTAAGGTTTTGGAAGGATTTCGTCTTGCGCGCGCGAATGTCCACTTTACCTTATTTTTTGCAAGGGATTCTTGAAGTTTGGTTATTTTAGAACAAGAAATTTCATTTTATAGTGTTTTTTGCAAGGGACAGCGGGGGGGAACAAAACAACCGGATCTTGATGACATCGTATTACCTGAGGCTTCCTCACGAAAATGATGAAAATGTAGCTGCGGCCTAGGCGGCGCAGGGGGGCCGTGCACCAGGGGTCCCAACAATAATTATTCTTTAGAATTAATAATGTTCAACAACAATAATACCAACAACAGCAGCAACAACAACATCAACAACAGCACCAACAACATCAACACTCCGCACCGCAGAACCTCACTTCAGCCACGCGCCCAGGGACAGTGGGTGACCGCTCGGCCCCCTGACTCTGATATTGGCAGGCCTCTAGCAGGCGACTAGCGCCCGCCACCGCTCTCGCCAGCAGGGCAGCTTGGGCATACCCCGGCTGCTCCTGGCTGCTCCTGGCTGTTCTTCAGGATGGCACGCGCCGCCGCCTCCCGGGAGCCTGTCGCCAGCTCGCCTGCCGCTGCCCAGAATGCTACCCGTTGCGCTGCCAGTACGCTGCATGCAGGAAGGAAGGACGTGGAACACCAGGCTGTGCGCTGCCATCCCGGACATGACGCAGTGCTTCAGCTGGGCCCTGGACCGACGACCTCTGTGATGCCTCAGCTGCCCCAGTTGATGGATATTGCCCTCGGCGCCTTTAAGCGATGTCCAGCGCGCGACCCTCGCAGTCTAAGGTAAGCGCGTTTTTTTGGAAGACGCAACCCCAACACAAAGGTCTCGCGAGCATCCACAGGGCCAGCCGCAAGGTCGGCCCGCTCGTGTGCGCGTCCACGGACGCAACATACAAGCTTACCACCACCTGGTGGGAAAGCCCGCGCAGCAGCACGCGACCCTCTGGTCACGTGCTGGCGGCGAGCAGTGACTTTCAAACGGCGCAGCGCATCATGTGCAGGAGAAGCATAGTACAGCATAGCGGGAGCCGCCCTTACCAGCAATACGAAGTCGGCAGCAGCGCTCCAGGCCATGCAAGGGCAGGGCTGCGGGCCGAGGCAAACTCAAAGTCACCAACGCAGCGGGCCAAGAAGGAAGGAAGGCGGACGAGGAGGCACAAGCGTTGGAAAACCACACAAGGAACCAGGCGCCTGCGACAGGCTTTACTGATGGAATGAGCAGTTGTGCATGCAACCTGGTGGACTCACCTGAAGCATACCCAACAACCGAGTCGACTACTGCACTTCCTTTAGCTCACGGCGTGGAGCGAGGAGCATGGTCGTCGTCGATCATAAGTCCCGCAAGCTCCTGCCACTTCGACGCCCCACGGGGTTGTGGGATGGATTCGATCAGCACACGGTGGCGGTCAGTCGCTCCGATCCAGCAGCGCGACACCTGGAACGGGTTCTTTTGAGGGGCCTTCTCGTTGGCAGCGGACGCCGCCTGGGGTGCCGCAGGGACCTGCAGCAAGATGCACTCGGTCATGTCCTCCTCCTCGGTGACGACAGCGGACAGACGGGTCTCCTCCTCCACACAAGCCACGGAGGAATACTGCATACGTATGCCCACCAGTTGTCCCAACTGCCATTGTTGTGTAACTGTGATACCGTCCCATGAATCAATCCGCGTGGACTCCATCCGTGGGAAAGGCGTGCTGATGTAGCCGGGGCGATCCCAGATCCGAGCTTCAGGCGAGTAAGCTGTGTCGCCAACTGAGGTAACCACATAGCTGGAGTGTGCCGCAACGTCTTGGCCTTCATGAAGGTCGACCTCAGACCACACCCGCCCTCTGGCGAGTCTGGCTCGGAAGGCGCGGTGATAGCTCCTTGTGCTGTGGACTGGCTCGCTTCCATCCTCGGCGTCGGTCGAAGGCATGGAGCTCCACGGTGATCGTGCCGTCACCGAACGATCGACCCTCCAGCGCGGGTAACTTCGGCTAGCGATGGCGCATGGACGAAGGAGAAACAAAACGTGTCCCGCCATCAACTGCATGCATGCTGTGCAGGGGCTTGCGACCCCGCCGACACACGAGATACGCTAGGAATTGGTCGAGCCAGGGCCTTGTAAGCGCGCTTCCCGTTATCCGCCAGCGAGCTTCCTGGTGCAATCGCGACCCTTTTGTTCGAGTAAACAATAACAAGTGATGAACTTGTCCACGCTTAAGGATTTCCTGTCCTTCAGCGGGACGGTGAGGAAATTGAGGAGCCTGGGGCAAACAAGTGGATGTCATTTGGCATCGGCGCGCTGGGGATGGGGGTGGAATAAGATCAGAAAAAACAGAAGCTGTGGCGCCCGAAGCACACCTGCGGCAGCACAGCACAGCTTCAGACATGACAGTACTGCCAATTTTGATGAGGATCATCCGATTAGGAGCATGGCGAATATCCGACAAGATCGTCGCTCGATCCAAGAAAGCCGTCCTTGCTCTCCTCCCTCCCGTCCCTCCTCTACCTTATCTCCATCCCACCATTCATCATACCCCTCCTCTCCCTATTTCCCTCCTCTCTTTCCTCCGTCCCCCCATCCATCGCCGTCCCCACGGAGCCATGGAGGGAGCCAGGGCCCACGTCCTTATGGCGCGCCTGTCTGCCAACGGGTGGCAACACACCCGTCGCGCCCGCGGGGCGCAGCAGTGGCAGTCTCAAGGCGGTGGGTTTGCACAGGACTCGAGGGATTTCAACCAAGCGGGGAGGCGGACGAGTCGGGGGAGGGCGGAGGAAGAGCGGGGAGGGGGCAGGAACGAAGGAGGAAGGGGATCTGTGTATACATAACGATAGGACCACCCTGCGGGTGATCAGGAGGTTGAAGGGGGAGGCGGTCGATTTGCGATGGCTCTGGGTTCTTTGCTGGTTTCTTCCAATTTCCTATTGTCGCGCACGTATGCCCATCTATCTATCCACTTATTTTTCCATACATATATATATACATATATATATATATATGAAAGAGCGTGTTATACCGCTGCTGTCGGAAAACTGAGGGGGGGCCACTACCAGTTCGACACCCCCCCCCCTCCAGAAAACCGGGGGGGGTCACTACCGGTTCGAACCCCTTCCCCCCCCCCCACCCCAGTCCATCATGAAAAAGGGGGGGGGTCACTACCGGTTCGAACCCCCCCTCCCCCCCCCCTCGAAAACCGGGGGGGGGTGCGGACAGTGGTGGGGACGGTGGTTCTGTGGGCGGGGATGCCGGGGCGAGGAGGGGGGTATCGGTCGGTTTGGGGGGAGAAATTGCGTGGTGGGGGGCCCCAAGAACAGAGGTTCTGTGGGGTGGGGATGCATGGGCGAGGAGGGGGGTATCGGTCGGTTTGTGGTGAAAAATTGTGCGGTGGGGGGGGTCCAAGAACAGAGGTTCCGTGGGGTGGGGATGTTGGGGCGAGGAGGGGGGTACGGTATCGGTCGGTTTGGGGCGAGAAATTGCGTGGTGGCGTGGGGCGGGGATGCCCGGTGTCGGTCGGTTTGGGGCTAGAAATTGCGTGGTGGGGGGGTCCCAAGAACAGAGGTTCCGTGGGGTGGGGATGCCGGGGCGACGAGGGGGTTCCCTGGGGTGGGGATGCCGAAGCCAGGATGGGGGTACCGATTGGTTCTTGGGACTTCCCACCACGTGGTGGGGAGTCCCAAGAACAGAGGTTCCGTGGGGTGGGGATGCCGGGGGCGAGAAATTGTGTGGATGGGGGTCCGAAGAACAGAGGTTCCGTGCGATGCCGGGGCGAAGAGAGGGGATTTCGGTTGGTTTGGGGTGAGAAGTTGTGCGGTGGGAGGTCCCAAGAACAGAGGTTCCGTGGGGCGGGGGTGCAGGGGCCAGGAGGGGGGTATCGGCCGGGTTTGGGCGAACAATCGTAGGGTTGACTCAAGATTGGTTGCTCTAGCCCGCACATTCCCTCACACGCCTCTGGGGTCGGCGGATCTATATACCTACCAATCGTTTTATTAACCATCGGGACAACCATCGGGACACCATCGGGACGACCATCGGGACAACCATCGGGACAATCATCGGGACAATCATCGGGACAACCATCGGGACAACCATCGGGACAACCATCGGGGCAACCATCGGGACAATCATCGGGACAACCATAACCATCGGGACAACCGCCGGGACAACCTGGGGCCACGCTAGGCGCTCGGGGAGCAGCCCTCTTGGCAATCTATGGCCTCTACTAAGGATGGAACTCGCGCAGCTTCGCTTCGCCCGCATGCACAACACGAACCAACACCGAAACCAAATTCCCAGTTGGGGCCCCTTCCGTTCCAACCCCCCGACCTCCGACATTTGCAATCAAAAGCGTGTGGGCAATAAGTAGTCCAAAATTCGTTTGATTGACATCAAGTTCGGGATGTTGTGGTTTATGTTTTGGGGGAGCGCCGCGAATTTGTCCAGATTTTGGGCCGCTCTGGGGCCCCGGAGGGTCCCCGCACCCTCGTGTTCCCGGCTCTCGCCCTTGCGAGCAGCGCCTGCGTGGAGAAGTTATGCCCCCAGATATACATGTAGGCGTATACGTATAATTCAGCAGTGGGTCATTCATGTTTCGGTCAGCAGTATGTGGTGTCACACAAGCGGTGCAATAGTAGGTAAAGGTGCAACTGTGATCTGCAATATACGTCGGCATACGTGGTGCAAAATATGCTGTGCAACTTGACTGAGGTTCCCGGGCAGTCTTCCAAGGAGGAGGCTACGCAATTCACTTTCACTAATAGCTTCTACGTCTGTCCTCATCGCCGTCTTTTCCAGAAGCCACGTCCTTCTTGCTGTTACCATCACCCCTTCCTCCTTCTCCTCCTCCTCCTCCTCCTCCTCCTCCTAGCCTGCTGCCCGAGCCCGTGCGCCGCGGGGGCGGCGCGCGCGGGCGGGCGGCGGGCCAGGCGCGGCCCCGCGGCCCGCGGCCCCCAGCGGGCAGCGCGGGCGATACGGCGCGGCGAGGTCGACCTCCTGCCTGGCACAGACGTGCTCGCCGCGCCAGGGCCGCGGCTCGTGTGCTGGTTCGTCTCGGCCGCGCGGCCGGGCTTCTTCGACACCGTCACTCGTCAAACGAGTTCACGGCCAAGGACAAGTCCAAGAAGAAAGGGAAAAAGGATGCCGACACCCCGAGCAGACGTTCCAGACGGGATGTCTCATCCTCTCCGTCGTCACGCTCCGCCTCAGTACGTCGTTCTCCGCGCCACCATCATGTATCTGATGACTATGCTAGGGAGCGTGCTCGTGACAGGGGCCGCACCGACCAGAGGTCGCGAAGTCTTGGCCGACATGAGGAAGCCCGACCCACCATATACGACCTCGAGGCGCTGGAGATGGCTCCAACTTTTCCCAGCCAAGATGGTGCTGCTCGAGGAGGAGACCCAACTCCCACGTTCGGAGCGGTTGGAGGCACCTCCACGCCATCGGGCAGCCCTCCTGGACAACCGATGCCATGGCCTGCTCCATGGTCTGCCCCTGCTTCATCAGCTCCACAGACTTCTACATTCATGGCCACACCACCGCCGAACTCTGGGCCACCACATGCAGGACAACCTGATCCATGGGCAGTATCAGCTATGGGAGATGCCATCAAAGAGCTGCGGGAAAAGACGATCGCAGACTTCACGGCTGCGGCGATGGCATCCCTGCAGCAGCAACTTCCTGCAGCTCTCGCTGCGGCCACCACTCCGCTGGTCAGTGCTTTCGAGCAGAAGTTCGAGGCACACGTCGCTCGCTTACGCGAGGTTACAGCGCAGCAGAGCTCTCGCATCGACGCTGTGGAGACGCAGACATCGGCGCTCGAGCAGCGACTGGCGCATCTTGAGAAAGAATTGGATCTGCCCCGACAACGTCCACGTGACCGCCCAGTACCATCGCCTGAGTGGGACCGATGCCCAGACTACAGTATCATGGTGGTGCGGTGTCCAGAAGAAGTCCCACGTGATGAAGTCATCAAGTCTATCACACCATGGTTGGAGGCTGCCAATTTCACCATGGGACAGGAGGTCGTCATCACTGGCGACCCAGTCGCCAAGCAGTTCACGCTGGAGTTCCAAGGGCCGATGCTGGCGACTAGAGAGTCAAGAAGGAAGCAAGCTCACACTTGTCTCCGTCTTGCCACAGGTAAATGGAGGGACTTCTTCGTGGATCTCCCCGCAAAGCGAGTTCCCCTGTACGTCGGGAATGACAAGAACAGGAAGGAGATCGCCACCGAGATAGCACTCAAGAAGCTCCGCAACACTCTGCAGAAGGAGGCGGGGCTCACCACATTCATGGATCGTGATGGAGGCCGACTTCTCGCACGGTGGGAACCCCTCGCCAAAGTGGCACCACATCCTGGCACGAGGGTTCCATCAGTGGCCTGGAATCCCGCGGCTCTCGCCGACCACGGAATCAGCAAAGAGAAGGCCCAGCAGATCGCGCAGACCACCTTCCAGGAGAAGACAGTCGAGTGGTATGGGTAACACTTTCCTTGGTGCTGCTCAGGTACGCTATGTATCATGGAATGCCTCTGCGTTGGTCCACTTCTCACCGGCTACGCTGAGCAAGAGGCTCCTGCGGCTACGAGCAATCACGTACGCTGTCGCAGTTGTCGCCATTCAAGAGACTCATGGGGACGAGTCTTCAGTTCGTGAAGTGCTGCAGCGTGCCAACATTCGACACTATGCAGTTATACCGGCTGGCCCAACTGCTTATACTGGTGGCTTGCTGACGCTGGTTCCTGACCTACCCACGTTACTCATTTCACACGAAGTTGTGGTACCTGGGAGAGGGATGTGCGCGACGATCATTCAACGTGACTCAGGTTTCACGACATTCCACTGGAATGTCCACAATTTTGGCCTGACCCGCGACGACATCATGCGAATTAAGGATATGATTGCGAGGCAGGCAGCGCTGGCCCGCAGGACCCCACTGTTGTACACCACCATCCTGGCTGGCGACTTCAATATCGCCGACGGTGCTATCGATTACTCGACGGCTACGTCATCTCGAAGGCGCGCAACATCGAGTGCCGCCAAGCCTGGAGACGCCGCGTGGCGCTCCATATTCCATATGCTGACAGAGTTGGGCTCAGAGCTGCCCACTCATTGGGATGAGGGCACGCAGTCCGCAGTGAAAATTGACAGGCTAGCCACCTCCACTCCACCATGGATTCTCTGCCAGACACGTCAATTATGCAGAACCCTTCTCGGAACCCCAAGAGGCATTTCTGCAGCAGTTATCTGATCATGTTCCTGTCATTGTCACGTGGTGCCCCAGCGGCTCTCCTACCTCTGCCCGCCCCCGCCCTCTCCCACGTTGGGTTTACTCAGATCCCTCATATGCCACAACGGAACGCGGTTCGAGGAGGCTGCAAAGATAGAGTCGCTAGCGTTCGACCCACCAACCATGCTTCGTGTGGCGACCCGAATTCGACAAGCTGCGGGGCGCCTCACTCGGGATGCGATTCTGTATTCGGATGGTCGTTCTACCGCGTCGCGAGCGATGATTTCGAGGTCTATTGCGAGGTGTGTGTGGCGTGCTGATTTGAAGCTTGCTCTGATCCTATGTGCACGGCACTCTTGGGTGAAAAGATATGCTCGACACTTCCTCGGGGATTCCGTGCCTCATCGACCCTGAGGCCTTTCTATGAACTATCACTCGAGCATACAATATCAGGAACAGAGTCGTAGGCACAGGGACATGCTTCGTGCAGCGGATC